CCCTCCCCCCCCCCCCCCAATTCTTCCAAGACGCCCGTGCTTGAGTATTTAATGTCATTTCTGTTATATACTCTTGTTCTCAAGTTTTTAGTGTTAATTAACCAACCGCAATTTTACTATTTGATCGTCGTAAAAAAAATTAAATTTTTCTTGAAGCTTTAAAAATTACTTCTGATTCCCGTTTAATGTTTAATGAGTAAATAAAGTTTTACTCAGGAATTTGATGCATTGCATGTTGGTGCGTTTACTTTGGTAAGAATTGAGTGAATTTGCTCACTAACTTGAGTAATAAGTTACTTTACTCAAATGTCGATTAAAATTCGCTGTCAAGGAAATCTCTGACACACCCAGTCTTTACAACAAATAGATAAAACGTTAATGTCAACTTTGAGTTGATTTATGAGTAAATCAACGGAGTTAATTTGAGAATTATTTTCCCAAAACAAGCATGCAAGGGATTTACATCTGTATGTTCAATATTACCTGAGTAGTTACCAACATTCAAAATGTAAGCCTTGTTTTCATTTCCAACAGAAAATAATTGATAAACTGCATAAGCTGTCTTATTCTCAAAACTCTCGAGATCAATTTTCAGTACATTATGTCCACTGGCCGAGAGACGATGAATCTTGTCCAAACCGAGCCAGAACTCACCAGACAGATTGCCAAATCCAGTTTTGTAGTCAGTCCAGTTTCTGTAAAAGTCCTCAGAACCATCTACACGTCTTTGAAATACAGTCCAGCCCCACCCTGGAGTGGTTTCCATATCGCAACGAACAGCAAAAGCTTCCAGGCCGTCCGGATCGATTGTATACACCCCAGTAGTTGTCTTGCCTGATTTATACAGGTTATCACAACTTTTCTGCAACTGAAAAATAGAACTGGTTTTAGAAATACGACGTACATCAAAGGACGAAGCAAAAGGTCAATAGGTTTATAATTGTACAACCGTTTTATAACATAGCTGGAGTTCATTAATAAGTTAATCTTATTAAACTCACAAAATTAATATCTATATTCTTTCTCTGCATTGCCCGCTTTTGAAATTGTTTTCAAGACAACTACATGTATATATATAACATGTGTAACTCCAAAGATGGATCGTTGGAGTTATACTTGTTTTGTATTTTGTTAAAATACTCAGTGGTTCTAAAAATTTTTGATTTACATGTAAATAGACCATAGGTTTTGCTAAAACGTACAACACTTCATTAGTTTTGACAACAAATGGTGACCGAGAAATACTTTGCCGTAATTTCTTGAGATATGAATTGAACATTTTTAGGAAAGCTCGGATAACCATGCAGACATAATATTTTCAAAAGTAAACCATGTTTTATACGCGAAAGTAGGTTTAAATTTTTATAAAGATTGGCGCATGATTTTGGAATCTAAATTTTTATTGTACATCTCGTACCTGCATGCGCTTACGCATTCACATATATTGCTATTGCGTGTGTAAGTGTGTTTGTGTTAGCTTGCAGCCAATTAGCGACAAGTATTATTCGCACTATTAATTATATATATTAAAAAGTAAGGTCATTTTCATAGCTCTAAACACATAATTGAAGCCAGAACATGTCTCTTCGTAGGTAACTCAGCAGCATTGTATTAATCTCGACCTCTTTTAATCCATGGTTTTCATCCTCTCAGTAGCGGCTTGACACACTGTAGCAGTCAGTAAAATGACAGAAGAAACACTTACGGAAAAATTGAAACAAGTTCATTTTGCTACATAAATCCAGGTCTCAGATGTTAAACACGCTCAAATAACCCCCCCCCCCCCCCCAACCCCGTTGTTTTACCTTATCCATGTATTTGGCCGCGGCAACTCGTATCTATAGTCCCGAGACGTGTGAACCAAGTAACTTAAGTACAGGCTCCAACAGCTGAACAAGTGGAAAACTTAACTGTAACAGTCAAGTACAAGACCGGCTTGAATGAGACAATAAAATTAAACGACACTCGAAAATCTATCGGTATTTCTCTTTTGAAAGGTTCTGACGATGATGTAGCCAAAGCCAGACACTGTAATCAAACGATCATGCATTAATTCTCTCTGGACGGAATTCAAAGATCAATGCATTGGATTGTGCCGCTTAAATAACCCATCTATACTACGATCCAAGAAAGTACGAGACATTGTTAGTTTTAAATTCGGTGACTTTGTCGAGAAAGAATTAAAGGAACGAGGGGATCTACTCTATCAAATTTTAAGAACTGTTGTATCTTCAGACAGCAATAGAAACACTACCAAAAACATGGAGAAGAAAACCCTGGCGATGGCTATGGCTGCTGGTATTCTCCCAAAAGCAAGAAATAAGAACCTGTGTTTAACTCAAGTAGTGACATTTTTAATACTACACAACGGAGGGTTGTCTCAAATGGTAATTTTTAACTTTTACTTGTTCTTTCTGCGTTTATCAGAACAATAATTTTAGCCCCCCCCCCACCCATCACTTTTCTTATTGTCCGTCCCCAACCCACATTTGTTGAGTTAAGCAGTAACCCATTATTCGGACACAAGCCATTGTTTATTCGCTATCATGAAATTGTAGGTCAATATTTGTTGACATTTTTGACAACAAGAAAACCAGACAAGTGTAGTAAGGTATTTCTAATTGGAATAACCATGAAATTATATAATGTATCGATCAACCCGAAACATCACCCCCCTCCCCGGCATTTGACTTCAAGGTATCTCCTGGGAGTAAGTCTCCCTATGATGATGCAATTGTGATATTGAAATCCGAAAAGTTCTGTTGTGTCCTACAATCTGGTCTCACTGCAAATAGGGTCCAGATTAGGGGTCCAGAAAGGCCTGGGTACAAGTTTTGTCAACCCCAGACTCCATTTTCCTATAACAGTCTTCTGAGTAGATTTTTTTTATTCAATTTTCTTTCAAACTTTCAGAAAGGATTTTTTTACTGTAACATTATTAAGTAAGTGCATTGAATGTTGCCAAACTTGATATGTGTTAAAGTTAAGATATGGTATGGTGTATGTAGGTATATAATTATTCATCCTTTCATATTGATATCTCATTTGCAGGGATAATATTTACCAGATTCAACAAACTTGAAGTTTGTTTGTCACACGAATCTACCGGCATAAATTATAGTTCAATCATGGGTGAAGACTTTGATGCAGATGTAAAAATGTGGATGAATAATCCTCAAGATAAACACCTAATAAAGATAGTTGGGGATAGCTTAGACTTGATAATACAGAAGAGGAAAGAGGAATCAACCAAAGGAAAGACAATCCCAACACAGACTTACACTGGTAAGTCATTTGTTATAAGTAAGTCAGTAGTGCTTAACCATTAAGTAAACATGCAGTACCTTTCCATTGGGCATCATTGACAACTGACAAGTAAAATCAATTGTGCTGTTAGTCGACATACAATATACAATAATTAAATGCTAAAGCAAGGCATTTTTTAATACCATGGACTGGTGGACAGTTACCCCACTGGGCCTCTTCCTCTGCCCCACCACCCAAGAAAAGAATATGGCCCATTGCCACTCACTGGGCCCTAGGACCTGTATTGATTAAATGAGTTTAACATTGAAAAGAAGCCTAAAAAACAAAATTGTTTGGTACGTGAGTAATACTTAAACTTATGTTGTGTTTGACAAATTTCACCATTAAAACGGTGTTTTGAGTTTAAAGCTGAGATTTTTTAAAAATGTCTTCTCAGAATACAGGAAATGCTATTTCATAGACCCAAGTTTTAAACATTAGGGCAAAATGGGCCAGTTTTTGCCCCACCACTGAAGAATCCTTAAAAACGCACTGTGCTAAAGACGCATGCGGCACAAATATACACATTAATGGTTTAATAATTATTTAGGAAGTGGTCATTATAGGGAGGGGGAGGAGTTGGTAAATGGGGGTGTGTGGCAAACAAAGTTTTTCCCTTATAAATAGGGGTGGGGTAAAAAAGTTTTAACCTAAAAAAGGGGGGTCAAAAAAATTTTTAAACTTAAATACCATTTCTAGATTTCTGATTTCTATAATCACAAATAGCTTAGATTCACAAATCATAATGCCAAAGTGGTAAAGACGACCCTGAAAATGCCATTTCCGACTATCTAGAGACTCGAAAATTTTAAAAATTTCCCTGCTCTGCACCAACCATGGTATTAGCGCCTCGTGGGAATCGGGCCCACTAAGTTTATTAACAAGCTTCCTACCCCCTGAGTATCTGACCCAGTTGTGGTATTTACATAAACATACCATGCAAGTACTTAACTGATCAGATTCAGCCTATTAAAGCAAAATGTGACGCTGTATATCCAAAAATTTGTTTCAGAATTTATGCTCACATTTCGGTCCTAGGGGCGCAAAAGTACAAACAATGTTCTGGGGGAGAATTCCCCCAGACCCACCCACTAGTACACACGATACCACACCAAACGTTTTGTCAGCAACAACCATCTGTCTTCACTCCACACTCGGTATATAATGGTCCCTTTTTGTAGATGCCCCACCCCCCAGACAAGTTCTTAAAAAACTAGCTGTGTTCAAATTATTTCGCTGTATGAAGACGGGCCATGGGTTAGGGTAGGACAAATGCAACCAGTGGCGGAAATCTTGATGGGGCTGGGGGGTGGCGCCCCCTCCCCCACCTTTACGGAAAATTGACGAATTTTCTGAATATTTGACCTAAAAGAGGGCTAAAAACAGTCTTTTCGAGTGCGAAGGGGGGGGATATGTCGTAAATTTGAGAGTTTTGTCGGAAATTCAGGAGGCTTTGTCCCCCTCCCACCGGAAAAAGTGAATTTCCGCCACTGCAAATGTTGCATTGCAAAATAGTAATACATATTATATATATATTTTTAATCATATATGGTACGTGAATCATACATATTCACCACCCGAGGGTAAAACATCATGAGCTAGATTAAACAGATTGTCCTATTAATATCTAACTTTATCTGCAATGCACGCCTGTTTCATTGCTGTTAATTTTTTAATCCACACTGCTGAGGGGGCAAGAAAAGTATATACTACTTTTATGAGGGGGGGGGGCACAAAAATTTGCCTTGAATCTGGAGGGGGGTGTCAAAAAAGTTTTCATTCCTTATTTTTCCCATTTACCAACCCCCC